GTGTTACAAGATCATAAAGATTTCCTCGCTCGAAGTTTGAGAATTTCAAAAGGGGTTAATTCTGTGAAATTCATCCTTTCAGTGGAACATATCCTACTGACTTGCCGTAGCCATCTTTACGCAGATTCTCTATTTGATCAGTGAATTCTAGAAAAATGGGGTAAATTCTGTGAAATTCATCCTTTTAAGTAGATTATGTCCTGCTGACTTACCATAGCCATCTTTACCCCGATTTTCCATCAGATCATTGTACGTGTGAATTTGTCTTAAACGGGGTAAATTATGACAAATCCACCTACAAGTGCAATATTCAATGATTTAGAAACAGAAAAGAAAAAAAGAACACAAAACAACAACAACAACAAATACATTGTATATATCGACAATCCATGGTTTAGGAACCCATGTGTTATATCTCTACCAGCGACATCCTACCTTCAACATGAAAGTCCATTCTTATGTGATTACAAGAGAACTGGTTTTATGTAAACGCAAGAGGCTTTGAGAAGGTCCCAGGATAAAACAGACTGACGAAGCATCGTTGCTGAGTATTTACCCCTTTGTCGGTCGGTGGTTTTTGTTTAGGTAATTGAAAGATGGGATGGAAAGCATGCATGACTCAGTGTTGTTCTTGAACGGCCACCGTACTGGCTTTAATGTGATGTACGTGCTCATAAGTAAGGAATTTGGTTTTCAAAGTTTGTCTTTCAAATCAGCTTGACGCGCTCTGAGGGATAACAACAGAGCGCTCTGTGAAGGTATAAAGTATACGGATAGCTGCAACAGCTAAACTCAGAGGAACCGCAATAAAGTCACAATCTACTACTTCAACTTTTTTAACGGAGGACTCAGTGCGATACAGCAAAAACCTACAATATTCCAAATAAAAAACTGAAAGCCAAACTCTGTGAATGAAGGAAGACTTCGTGAGGCAGACAAATAATCATACCTTTGACCTCTCAGTCGATCTCACCTTTGGTAGATCAGGATGAAGCGTCAAAAATATATAATTTTATGTCGACGAACCATAATCTTATAGTATGATCTTCAGCTAATAAAGAAAATAAAATAATTGTGATATGACGCCACATTGTGCTTTTGTCTTAGCTTGTGGATAAAATGTTGTCAATGGAGTCACAAGCCGAGCAGTGAGGACTGTAAATAAAGCAAGACTGCAAATATGGCGTGAACAATAACGTATCCTTTGGTCGAAAATTGCTTTGTTATTTACTCGGCAAGTTGTTCTTCCACGTTTAGGTTATAACAACGATGCGAACACACGACCTTAACGAAGAAACGATAGAATTCACTTCAAGGGAAGTAGCGTGTGTGTGTGTGAGAGATCTGGTTCGCAATGACCATGCGGATAGCAAGTTTTCCTGAAATCAACTAGAGGTTGTTCATACGTTGTTACCGGAAAATACTGGTCAAATTTTCCACCTATCCCGACCCCCCTTAAATTAGTACTTTTGCTTGAAGACAGAACAACGACACAGTCTCTTAACCAGTCCCAAGTCGCGTGTTGCTCGATAGATCACAAGATATGATTGTTCACTGTATCACATAACGTCAGAGGACATATCTACAGTAAGAGGACATAAGTACTACGGTACAAAGGGAATGAACCGTATACATTTACATTTGCGGCGCGAAACTTTTCGCGCGCGCAGCTTGAAAGGAACAATGAAGCCAGCAGTTTTAGTAATCAGGTCACGCGGTCTGTATCAGGTGAAGAATCACGGTTCTGAATGCACTAAAATAGCTCCACAACCTTATGACAACATTTTATCACGTCAAAATAATTTATAAATAGTATTATAACATAGCTAGTAAATTTGCGTAATCAAATTCAATTGCGCGAGCGTGCTTCATATTCCTATTGTGCACGCTCATGACGTCAGCAAACAAATCCCTCGAGAAAAAAATTTTCCTTCGGGTTGAAAATGTTATAAAACAATTGGTTCATACGTCAGTTGTGTGTTCATCGAGATATGAAGCAAGCGGGAAGTTTGGAGAGCACTCAAGAAGCTAGAGTTGCTCTCGGCTACGCCTCGAGCAACTCTTACGCATCTTTCGTGTTCTCTAAACTTCCTGCGTGCTTCATATCTCGATGAACGAACGCTGACGTATGAATCAATTGTTAATTATACATTATTTAAATTTCTATTTGACAATATCACATTACTTACAGATTTGATATAGAAGACAATTACAAGAACGTATGAGGAAAGCAAGTTTATCTTTGATTGAATATTGGCCCTCGTGAAGACATCAGTGTATCCATCGTTCTCTAGAAGGCCTTCTTTGAACATTAAGAACATATCCATGGCGTGAATGAATGACAGTCAGAGTTATGGTCCAAGTGATCAGTATCGTTATTTCCTCAACTGCAGGGGGCTTTGTTTTACTCGTTCCGGATATGAACAAACTGAAGACGAAAGAAGTGATACCGAGAGCAACGAGAAGGTGTTAAGAAGTTGCAGAAATAGACCTTATTCGCCGCCTACGTCACGATGCTTTTTTTGTGGTCTGCAAAGATCATTTTCACGTGACGTCACAGAATTAATTTGCGCCATGTTGGTGCACATTTGAGTCACGTGTTTTAGCCATTATTTATATGCAAACACGGTCCAAATTTACAGTTCCTTTCAGTTTACTATCGAAAAGGAAATCTATGGCGTCTACCGAAAAAATTGCTATTCCTTCATCTGATCCTGACCATGTCGTCCAAATTCCTCTGATTGCCTTAAAAAACTAGATGTTAAAGTCACAGAGCGATATCTATAGAAGACCTAGACTATCGGAATCGATGCTGTTTTGATAGACGGGAAATCCTTGGAGCCTGATTGCTTACCGCTGGTGGAATACACTGATTTGCTTTGCTACCTGGTTCTTGGGAGACTAGCTTTATACGCAAAACACAATTTAAAGCCTTCCGCAGTCTCGGGGCCTATAATCAAATGGTGTCAGACTTTGTTTACAACGCTCAAGGATATATCATTGCAAAAAAGTACGTGGTGTTGACAAAGGTGTAGCACTCGCAGCGCATGAGCGATACCTTGATTCACATTTGGATTATTATCGCGAAGAATGGGACAATAAATTGTGCTCATTGTTTGGATGAGGTGAAAGGCAGGCCTCGCCGAATCATGTTCGCACGTAACTAGTGTGCTATATTACCTTAAGGCTTGGACAAAGGTAAGTGGAAGGTATAACAAATTCTTACGGACTTTATGCACGAGCCCACGAATTGGAAATTTTGGAAGGTTTTTGTTAAAATTTTGAACCTTTCGGGATGTTCATAGTCATTTCCACATTACCACACGGATCAATGATTTCCTTGGCCTATCAGGGAAAGAAGAGGAAATTTCTAGGTATTTATGGCTCTGCATCTCACACAACAACAGAACAAAGGTCGAAGCCGCGCGAAACGACATGCCCCTTGAGGAAGCTGGTACAGAATTGGCCAATCCCGGCCTTCATTTGGACGCATTAGTAGCAAAGTCGCATAAAGCCTTGCATAAAAGTGATCAGGAGGCAAATAGGAAGCTACAACTTTACAACATCAATTGCATCACTCGTGTGTAATTACGCAAGCCTTCTTATAGGATAAAGAAATTCATAAAAACCAAACATGCTTTGTGTGTGGACATTCCCCTCCCTCTTCCAGAGGACATGTTGTAGTGAATATTTCATGTACAGTCCCTCTTCATTGGTGAATTTAGGGAGTCCCTAGCTTTTTCATGCATGATTTTGCCAAAAAGGCCAAAGCCTACATGATCAAAATAATATTTTTAAAATTTGGTTAAGGTTATCCTTCCAATATGTCTGATTAAAGAGCATATTACCTCAACATTTTAATTGTGAGAGCCTGAGAGAGAGAGACAACAAGTCACACCACGAAAGCCCAGTGACATCCCTCGGTAAAGATTCAGAGGAAGGTCTTTTTCTCTTTGCAACTTTCCCAAAACTGGATGCAGCAAGTCTCAACTAAAGGTTTTATTGAAACACAACATAGTAGGAAAATTTTGACAAAACATCTTCAGTGAGTCAACATCCGCTACTCGCAGCCAAGCGACTTTATATCCAACTTTGACTGCAGCTATATAGAAAGCGGTTGTTGCCGATTTGGGCTTTAAGCATATCACTCTCGATTCTTAATAAAGCGAAATCTTTTTGCTACATAGTAAATCCTTTTAATTCAATAAATCTTTTTTTTTTCGCTTTTATGGACCTCGACTTCGTCTCTGTAAAAACGTAAAAAAAGAATTCGGCCAATATCCAGCCATGCTGACTTCAAACTTTTTCAATAACACATATATACTTGTTGAGATTGTTCACCTAATACAGACCACGTGACCTGAGTGCAAATATGGTCTATTGAGCCCTTGTCCTTGCGCGACTTCAGGAATTTCAGCAGACATGATATTAATCTTCAATTCTACTTGGCCCAATGCGATTACCTCTATTAATTGCCTCTTCATCCAAATGTCTGTAATAATTTTTAAAACTGTGTTGGTTGGTAAACTCTCCTTTTCTAAATGTCGATATCCGCTATTAATCCAGAGGGTCCTGATCACAGGCATAGTAGGGGTGAACTATCTTCGACCTTCACTCATAAATAACTAAAAAAAACTGTTTAGGTCAGGATATCCTCTGCAATTCTCTCCCACCTATCATCTCCGGATAGGTAGTTGTCTACTTAAATGTCATTTTATCGTCACTAGCAGCTTCGCCGTAGAGTAAAACAGTTTATGATTAATATCTCAAAGAAATCATTGCTCATACCGTAAAGATGTGTTTTCTTTATCTGATCTACAAACTAGCGTCACAACTTTGCAAAGCCAATAACGCCATCGCCATGTTACCCTTCAGCGTGTGGAGAGGGCTAATGATTAAGCTGGATCCATTGCGTCCGTTGGGAGATGACTTTCGTGACCTAGCCGACAAGATGGGCTTTCATGTGGAGAAAATTTTCAAGTGTAAGTCCAACCTAAGCTGTTGTTTTGAAATGGATTTACACCGAAGATGGCCACCAGCTTATTGATTTTAATCGGCCCTTCCTCTCCGGTGCTTCTCTGCGAACATATGCAGATGCATTCCATCAAAAGGGTGCGGCGTTGAATAACTACTGGGGTTTCATTGATGACACTGTCGGCCCTATTTACCGCCCACTCCAAAATCAACGAATCGTCTACAACAGCCACATACGGATACATACCTTGAAATCCCAATCTATTGTGACTCCAAATGGTCTCCTTGCCAACTTATATGGCCTAATAGCTGAGTCGAGATATACTTGTATTCAAAAAGTAATTACCAAATTAAATGTAGTTTCATTTCCGTATTTATCACAGTTTTAACTTGAAGGAAACACTCTACTATTTTTTGTGTCATTCGCTTTATTTATGCGTGGCTTACATGTGCTCCTGCTATTTGTGAAACGACAATTAAAATGATAAAATTACAGATAAGAATACCACAGAAACTTTGGTACAAGATGGGGTTGCTTTGATACGTTTTTGGACAAGTCAGGGAAGGCAAGGGCTAGTCTACAAAAAAAAAAGGAGAAGGGCTTGCCATAATCGTGCTGTCCTTGTTATACAATATTCTTCATTTTGTCTTTAGAGAGGGCAGGAGGCATGACAGCGGGACGCTTGCCGATTCCGGGGTGTACGAGCTAACTAGGAACTCTTTCGACTCGGCTAAGCACCTTTTATGCTTGTACGGAGACCCGGCATACCCACCGAGAGTCCATCTCCAAGCTCCCTTCAGAAATGTGGTACTTACCCAGCAGATGGAGGATTTTAATAGTTCAACGAGTTCCGTTCGTTCTTCAGTAGAGTGGCTCTTTGGCGACATAAGTAACGATTTTAAGTATCCTTATTTGAAGAAAAACTTAAAGATAGGTTTGAGCTCAGTGGGAAAAATGTACATTGTTTCTGCTTTTCTTAAGATATCCTTTCACATGCTGGCATAGAAACACCACATCCATGCTTTTTTATCTCGACCCTCCAAATAATTATGATTATTTCTCTTAAATTATCAGTTTCTAACACGTTGTGTCAGTTAGGAATATTATTTAATGATGTCGTGTGAAATAAACAATGAACAAACGTTTTTGTCGATAGTCATGTGATCCCATCTGAAATCACTTCAAGTACGTATACAAGCTCCCTGAATGTAAACACATGGCAGAACAAGTTTCAAGGCTTCGATAAATAGAGAATACATGGGCACACGTAGATATGGAATTTCGCTTCGAGTGTTTAACTCGATAGCTAACGAGTGAGATGTCGAATTGAACACGAGAAGAGAAATTTAATATCTAAAAGCAACCATGCATTATTTTGTTTATTATGTAAACACAATAGCCCTTTACTGACAAGAAAAGTCAACTTTATTTATAAATTAAAATAGAAGGATCGACAATCCGCGAATAAAAATCGTAAAGTGCGTTGGCGCTAAGGCTCAAGATGAAAAATTGCGTTGAAAAACTACAAAAACAATGGGCATAATTTCCAACATACAAAATTCTCAGTTACTGATTTGGTCCTTACTTTCAGAAGGAATCTCTAAAGTATAAAGCCAAAATCGGACTGTGGCAAATTTTCCAGTTGTCGATTTTCGTTCTCAGCCGCGATAAATGCCTTTACCAAAGCCACTGAATACGTAACTTTCGGTTTTTCTTTCCATATTTTGGGTTTCTTTCCCTTTTAGTAAAGTTTGAACGTCACTGTCTGTAAGCGATACGGATTTTTCAGTGTTTTAGCAGCTATAATCCGAACAGACGAACGACCTTGGATTGAGAATGGTGAAGGCTTTGCCTTTCATTCATTAACCTGTCCGAGTGGCGCGAAAAGAGAGTGACGTGTCAGCAGCTGATTAGCGATATCAAACACGTTTTTACTGCTTTTCTCAGGGCTTGAAATCCTTGTATAACACCGTAGTTTATATGATGATTATTTGAAAATCATTAACAACACAACAAAGTTCTAGATTAGTTGCTGAAGGATGCAAACATTGTTCACTAAATTACTCATTGAAACAATGTTCAACAAAATAAAGTTGCACTCTATTTTTGTTCTGAAATTTTCTGAAGTAAGGTGGTCATACACTTCCGAGTTTCCATTAACTCGGTCTGCATCTGTTCCAGTTGTTGCTGCATCTGTTGTTGATTCTGTTGCCGTAGTTGTTGATTCTCTTGCCGTAGTTGTTGATTCTGTTGCTGTAATTGTTGATTCTGTTGCTGCAACATAGAAATCATCTCTTGTTGCTTCTGTTGCTTCTGTTGCTCAATTATAAGCAATAGCCCATATTTCATAGCTTCAAGCTCTTCTCTTTGACACTGAAACTCCATCTTACTATGCTTCTTTAAAAACTGGACTGTGTCGCTGCCACTTCTCCACTTTTTACACAGCTTCTCTTCTGGCGACTCATCTGGATCAGCTTTCCTCTTCTTAGAAGCACCAAAAGTTTCCATCTACGAATTAAACGTACACTGTATTTGAAAAATAACCCGACGAATTCAAGCCTTAACAATTAAAGCTTTTCTAATAATAGACACATCCCTTTTGTAATTATTATTTCGTACAATTACAAACTGTTAAGCTTATGAGTCGTTCTGCCTTGGTATATCAAAGGCAGAAATTGTTTTACATGTTATATGTGTAATGTTAAAGCGATCAATTGTCATCCATTGTATACTCATTATTTTTGCCAGCTATTTTGATTCAAGTATCGGAAAAAAAAATTTTGCGAAGAATGCACTCATGTCGTGTGTACAAGAAGCGCGTATTTGTCTGCTTGTGAACATGGCGATTTGCACATTAAATACAAGATTAATTTGAGTCGATTAAAAAAGCTTCTCTGCTAAATGAAAGGCCAAGAGCGAGGAATCGCAAAAATTGCGTAAATGTTATTTCAAGCTATAACAATCTAACGGTTAAACATTGAGAAAATCGGAAAAGACAACTTATTATTCCGTTGAATGAAAGCAACCTCTTCGATGGAAGCTAGTTTGGCATGCGAAAACAGTTTAAAAAAATTAGCCACATAATGCTTGCAGAACATTATTTAAAAGGTAAAATCAATCATTATGGAAGCTTCAATTCCAAGTTGAATTAGTCCGGAAGTAAGCTAAAAGTGATAGAAAAAAAAGATTAAGCACCCCCATTCTCGTCGCAACGTGAAACCCCCCGTTCTCGTCGCAACGTGAAACCCCCCGTTCTCGCCTTCGGGACAATGGCAAGTCACAACGTGTTGTACATGCACAGCGAGGACTGCAAAGAAATTTCACTCTCTCTAAAAGATGAATAGGATGGTGCAAGCGCACCAAAACAGGGCAAGATGTCAGTCGAAAGACGAAGGGAGGTAGACGTTGAGGATTTGAACAGATCGGCGCATAATAATGGTAACGACAGTAGTAACTAATCTTCCATACTTCATCATTAGAAGGCACAGCTGTGTGAAGTGGTTCATCCTCTTTGTTCATTGCAGTGGACACTGGTTGTGATGTATTCGTTGCCTCCATGCGAGAAAGATTTTCCATTTCTTGTAAGACACCTAAATTTCAATTGAGATGGTGATTCAAATAACAGATGAAAAGAAAACATTTTTAAACAGTAACATAATTTATGATAAATGATATCTATTTCAGCAAGTTTTAAGAACCTTTGAAACTATGTAAATTGTACTCATTTTCCTGTAATCTACAGTAGTTGAGATTCTGCTCTTGATCATTAGAATGAACATCTCAATACTTACGGCACAAATGTTCATCGGAAACTGGTGCCATTGTTAATGGATCACGTAAATTAACAGTTTGGTCATCAACTACACTTGGGTCACTCGTGCTGTTCATCTGAGGATTTCCAGGTGTTGAATGTTCCATCACTTGCGATTTTATTTGACTTGTACCCGGAACCTAATAAAAGAATTACGAAAAGTTATACATTCATTCATGATGAAGAATTGAATTCCACAACCACCTGCCTCACTATTATTGACCGAGTTACATTTGAGCCCATCTCAAGAGATTGAGTTAATTAAACTTGATCTAAATAACTTGAAACATTTAATAAGAGATTACTCCTAAAGATACTAAAAATACATTGCTGGTAACTCAGTCAATAATAGTGAAGCAAGTGGTGGACAGTGGAATTTAATTCTTCATCATGAATGAATGCATAACTTTTCGTAATTCTTTTATGTTTGAGGGTTTGCTAACCTCAAATGTGAAAGTTTTCTTACTGCAACTATAAATTATCTGTCCTTCATAGCTTGCAGATTACCTCGAAACAGCTAACGTCCGTGAACAAATATCCGTGAATATTTTTTTGCCAAATGTAGGTTGTTTCATTCAAACAAAATGCATAAGGCTCCGAAAGTTCTTCCTTTCAAAAAAATTCTATAAAAAAAACTATCTAAAACATGATTAAGATGGTGCAAGTGCACCAAAACAAGGCAAGATGTCAGCCGAAAGACGAAGGGAAGTAAATGTTGAGGATTTGAAAAGATCTGCGCATAATAAGGATAACGACAGTAGTAACTAATCTTCCATACTTCATCACTGAAAGGCCCAGGTGTGTGAAGTGGTTCATCCTCTGTGTTCATCACTGTAGTGGACTCTGGTTGTGGTGTACTCTTTGCCTTCACACCATCATCAACATTTTCCAGTCCTTGTGAAACAACTAAATTTCAATTGAGATAAATGACAGTGATTCAAATAACAGATAAAATAAATACATTTTTTAAAGACTAACATGACTTATGATAAATTATATCTGTTTTAGTAAGTTTTAAGAACCTTTGATACTATGTAAATTGTACTCATTTCCCTGTAATCTACAATAGTTGAGATTCTGCTCTTGGTGGTTACAATGAGGATCTGAAGACTTACCGTACATACATTGATTGGTAAATGGTCGCACTGTTGCTGGATCAAGTAGATGTTGTGGAGCTTCCTGTTGATGACCTACACTTGAGTCACTCGTGCTGTTCATCTTAGGATTTCCAAGTGATGAATGTTCCATCACTTGTGATTTTATTTTACTCGTACCTGGAGCCTAATAAAAGAATTACGAAAAGTTATGCATTCAATCATGATGAAGAATTAAATTCCACTGTCCACCACTTGCTTCACTATTATTGACTGAGTTACATCTGAGCCCACCTCAAGAGATTGAGTTAATTAAACGTGATCTAAATAACTTGAAACATTTAATAAGAGATTACTCCTAAAGATACTAACTACATTGCTTATAACAACGTAATTTATGACAAGGTGGCACAAAGGAGGGCTTTCAACTATTTCAAGAGGTCCTAAAATGAAGTTGCATGCAACCAATTTTTTACACTTTTTTTCTTTGCTTAAGATTGGTGACCTCAAAAACCTACGAAGTATAAATTCCAATCAAGCCTGTGCCACTGAATGACTTGTATAAACTTTTTCCAAACAATCATTTTGAATTCCAGACTAAACGTTACGAGTATAATTTCAAGGCATAAGCAATAAATAATCAGAGAGCAATTAGCTGCATGTTTGAGGGTTTGCTAACCTCAAATGTGAAAGTTTTCTTACTGCAACTATAAATTATCTGTCCTTCATAGCTTGAAGATTACCCCGAAACAGCTAACGTCCGTGAATATTTTTTACTAAATGTAAGTTATTTCATTAAAACAAAATGCATAAGGCTCCGAAAGTTCTTCCTTTCAAAAAAATTCTATAAAAAAAACTATCTAAAACATGATTAAGATGGTGCAAGTGCACCAAAACAAGGCAAGATGTCAGCCGAAAGACGAAGGGAAGTAAATGTTGAGGATTTGAAAAGATCTGCGCATAATAATGATAACGACAGTAGTAACTAATCTTCCATACTTCGTCACTGAAAGGCCCAGGTGTGTGAAGTGGTTCATCCTCTGTGTTCATCACTGTAGTGAACTCTGGTTGTGGTGTACTCATTGCCAACACACCATTATCAACATTTTCCAGTCCTTGTGAAACAACTAAATTTCAATTGAGATAAATGACAGTGATTCAAATAACAGATAAAATAAATACATTTTTTAAAGACTAACATGACTTATGATAAATTATATCTATTAAAGTAAGTTTTAAGAACCTTTGAAACTATGTAAATTGTACTCATTTCCCTGTAATCTACAATAGTTGAGATTCTGCTCTTGGTGGTTACAATGAGGATCTGAAGACTTACCGTACATACATTGATTGGTAAATGGTCGCACTGTTGCTGGATCAAGTAGATGTTGTGGAGCTTCCTGTTGATGACCTACACTTGAGTCACTCGTGCTGTTCATCTTAGGATTTCCAAGTGATGAATGTTCCATCACTTGTGATTTTATTTTACTCGTACCTGGAGCCTAATAAAAGAATTACGAAAAGTTATGCATTCAATCATGATGAAGAATTAAATTCCACTGTCCACCACTTGCTTCACTATTATTGACTGAGTTACATCTGAGCCCATCTCAAGAGATTGAGTTAATTAAACTTGATCTAAATAACTTGAAACATTTAATAAGAGATTACTCCTAAAGATACTAAAAATACATTGCTTATAACAATTTAATTTATGACAAGGTGGCACAAAGGAGGGCTTTCAACTATTTCAAGAGGTCCTAAAAGCAAGTTGCATGCAACCAATTTTTTACACTTTTTTTTTCTTTGTTTAAGATTGGTGACCTCAAAAACCTATGAAGTAAAAATTCCAATCAAGCCTGGAGTTGACTGTGCCACTGATTGACTTTTTATAGACTTTTTCCAAACAATTATTTTGAATTCCAAACTAAAAAAAAGACTAAAACTTATGAGCATATTTTCATGGCCCAAGCAAGTATTGATTAGAGAGACCTTTGTTGTATGTATGAGGGCTTGCAAGCCTCAAACGTGAAAGGTCTTTCACTGTCCTATTAAAGCATGCCTTAGACAACTTCTGTAATTTAGATGATTAAATTCAGGAACCTAACAAAGACAGCTTACACATCAACTACACATCAACACTTTTTGCAGGGTGGAAAGGGTATTTTGAAAAGGAACTAGACTTTTTGAACCCTAAGGCCAGTTACATCCAAGTCACCCCTGAGACCCCAAAAGCCTGAGACAAAACAAAGTCCCTTCAAAACTAACAATGAAAGAATTGCATTTCATCTGAGGATCAAACTGAAATGCAATTTTAACCCCATGCTTGATGTACCGTCAGTAAATAATAACCCTTTGACCTGTAAGAGTGACTTGCATCTACCATCATCTCTGAATCACACATTGAGGTGATCATGAGAGTGAGGGAAAAGATCACCAATCTAAGAGGCTCCTGATAATTACACTTTTGCTATATGTTTCCTTCCAGAAATTTTAATATCCACTTTTTTCATACCATTTCCATCAATTCTGCACCATCATCTTTTCTCTCTAAGCTTTGGTTTTATTTTTATTGTTGCCAGACCCCAGATAGTAACAAAAAACTAGAATTATAATAACTTGTAACCAACAATTAATGCCTGATTATATATTACACAAATAACAAAATAAATTTAGTTCATTATTTAACAAGGAGATTAATCAATACCTCCATTAAAATATAGAGAGTCGAATTTCCTTGAATGGTTTTTTTGATAAATTTTCCATCCCAAACTGTTGGAGCACCATGGAAAAATAATTTGTATGCTTCCTTTAATTTGCGTGAGGCACAATAGAAACTAGAAAAAAATCAGAGCAAGTCAACAACCTGTCTGGTTTAGTTAACTGCTATGTTGTCTGAATGCAGTTTAAACTAAGTAGGTCAGAAGGATCACTACTCTACAATACTGTACTGGCTTGATTCCAGAGCCTTAACTAAGTGCATGTGCAGCCAGAATTGACTCTTATGAAATTGAAAGGTTGCCATAGGTGGTGGAACAAGGTAGGCAGAGGAGGGAGGGAGGGAGGGAGGGGGGGCTGTAACCCCCCAAAAATTTTTGGAAAGGCACATCCCCCTCCCACATCTCAGTACAGAAAATATTACAAAGTACATGATAAATTGGCTGTACAAGTACTGTGATGTACACAATGTATGTACATGTAGCATTAAGACTAGTCCTTCTGAAGCAAAAGTAAAAAACTTACCTTAAAGTTTGTGTTTTATCTCCTACTAGAATAGGGAAATTGTTTTTCAATTCTTTCTCTACTTCAGCAGCACTCATTGCTGAAGAAATCTGTACACCAGTTTTAAACTGGCCTGTATGTGGTTTCTTGATTTTAGCCATTTCAATATTGTTTGGGAAGAATACTGTAGTGCCCTTCATAGCAACATCTTCACTTTTCAAAACCACAACACTCATCCCTTTAGGTTGTGATTTCCCCATTTCTTTTCCTTTAGTAGATTCATCAGATCTATAAGATGCTGCCTCCATCTGTTTTGTAAGACATCATGACATTTTGGTAAGTGCAGACTGAGATGGTTTGTATGACAACACACTATATTTAACTATTTTATAATTTGCATATACAAGCATGTGGGATGTGATACCAACTAAGAATACTGGAAAATTATTAATTCCTAGTTTTTTCCCACATAAAATCCAACCTCAATACACAAACAAATCCTACTCCAGCAAACACTAAAAATACTTTGCTTCCAACAACTTAATTTACTACAAGGTGGTAGAAAAAAGGGCCTTCAACTATTTGAGAGGTCTGAAAATCAAGTTGCATCTAACCAATTTTTTGCACTTTTTTCTTTGTTTAAGATTAGTGACCTCAAAAACCAATGAAGTTAAAATTTCAATCCAGCCTGGAGTTTCCTGTGCCCACTGAACGACTTGTATAGACTTTTTCTGAACAATCATTTTAAATTTAGGCTTAACATTATGAGCATATTTTGAAGGCATTAGCAATTATTAATTAGTGAGAAATTTGCTGCATGTTTGAGGGTTTGCTATCTTCAAACATGAAAGTTTTTTCACTGTTTTATACATTATCTGTCCTTTGTAGCTACCAGTTTTTTCCACAAACAAACATCTGTGAATATTTTCTGGCCAAATGGAGGTTGTTTAATTTAACAAAATGCGCAACACTCTGAAAGTTTTTCCTTTCAAAAAAACTATCTAAAAGATGGTGCAAGCAGACAGAAACAAGGCAAGATGTCAGCCAGAAGACGAAGGGAAGTAGATGTTCAAGATTTGAGCAGATCAGTGCATAATAATTCTTACTGGATCAAGTAGATGTTGTGGAGCCTCCTGTGCCTTAACAGTTTGCTGATCAACTACACTTGAGTCACTCATGCCGTTCATCTGAGGATTTCCAAGTATTGAATATTCCATTGTATATGGTCTTATTTGACTTGTACCTGGAGCCTAATAAAAGAATTATGAAAAGTTACACATTCATTCATGATGAAGAATTAAATTCCACTACCACCTGCCTCACTATTATTGACTGAGTTACATCTACATCATATTTCAAGAGGTACTAAAGTAAGGTTGCATGCAACCAATTTTTTTCACTCTTTTTTCTTTATTTAAGATTGATGACCTCAAAAACTGACGAAGTAAAAATTTCTATCAAGTCTGGAGTTGCCTGTGCCACTGAATGACTTGTATGAACTTTTTCCACACAATCATTTTGAATTCCAGACTAAACGTTATGAGCATATTTTCAAGGCCTAAACAATTTTTAAATCGAGAGACCTTTGTTGCATTTTGAGGTTTTGTTAACCTCAAACATGAATGTTCTCTCACTGTTCTATACATCATCTGTGCTTCATAACTCCCAGCTTTCCCCAGAACAGCTAACATCTGTGAATAAATATCCATGGGTTTTTTCTTGCCAAATGGAGGTTATTTAATTATCACAAAATGTAAGTCTCCGAAAAAATTAGTAAAAAAAAAAACCTCACTAAAAGATGAATAGGATGGTGTAAGCGCACCAAAACAAGGTAAGATCTCAGCCGAAAGACGAAGGGAAGTAGATTTGGAAGATTTGAACAGATCTGTCCATAATAATGATAATGACAGAAGTAACTAATCATTCCATACTTGATCATTAGAAGGCACAGCTGTATGAAGTGGTTCATCCCCTGTGGTCATAATTGTAGTGGACACTGGTTGTGATGTATTTATCGGCTTTATGCGCATGATATTTTCCAGTTCTTGCATATATTCAGCTACATTTCAAATGAGAAAAATGACAGTGATTCAAATAACAGATAAAAGGAATACATTTTTTGAAGAGTAACATAAGTTATGATGATTATATCAAGTTTTAACAATCAACCTTTGGAAGTATGTAAATTGTAGACACTCATTTTCCTGTAATCTACACTAGTTAAGTGATCATTAGAGTGAACATCTTAATACTTACATTGCGTATATTCATCGATATATGGTGGTGTTGTTACTGGATCAAGTAGATGTTGTGGAGCCTCCTGTGCCTTAACAGTTTGCTGATCAACTACACTTGAGTCACTCATGCTGTTCATCTGAGGATTTCCAAGGGTTGAATGTGGCATCACATATGATCTTATTGTATTTATACCTGGAACCTGATAAAAGAATTATGAAAAGTTATACATTCATTCATGATGAAGATTTAACTTCCACTACCACCTGCTTCACTATTATTGACTGAGTTACATCTGAGCCCATCTCAAGAAATTGAGTTTATTGAACTTGATCTACTGGTATATAACTTAAGACAAGTAATCAGAGATTCAGGCTCCTAAAGATACTAGAAATGTATTGCTTACAACAACTTAATTTATGACAAGTTGGTACAAAGGAGGGCTTACAACTATTTCAAGAGAAACTTAAGTAAGGTTACATGCAAACAATTTTTTATACTTTTTTTCCCTTTGTTTAAGATTGGTGACCTCAAAAACTGACAAAGTAAAAATTTCAATCAAGCATGGAGTTCCGTGTGCCACTGAAAGACTTGTAAAGCCTTTTCCGAACAATCACTTTGTATTCCAGACTAAACGTTATGAGCATATTTTCAGGGCCTAAGCAATTATTAATTAGAGAGCAATTTGTTGCATGTTTGAGGGTTTGCTAAGCTCAAACACGAAAGTTTTTTCACTGTTCTATGCAATATATGTCCTTCGTAGCTACCAGTTTTCCTCGGAACAGCTAATGTCCACACACAAATATCTGTGAATATTTTCTTGCCAAATGGAGGTGATTTAATCATAACAAAGTGCATAATGCTCTGAAAGTTCTTCAGTTCCTTTTAAAAAAATTCTTTAAAAAAAAAACTATCTAAAAGATGAATAGGATGGTGAAAGTGCACCAAAACAAGGCAAGATGTCAGCCAAAAGACAAAGGGAAGTGGGTGTTTAGGATTTGAACAGATTGGTGCATAATAATTCTTACTGGATCAAGAAGATGTTGTGGAGCCTCCTGTGCCTTAACAGTTTGCTGATCAACTACACTTGAGTCACTCATGCTGTTCATCTGAGGATTTCCAAGTGTTGAATATTCCATCGCATATGGTCTTATTTGACTTGCACCTAGAACCTAATAATGGAATTATGAAAAGTTATACATTCATTCATGATGAAGAATTAAATTCCACTACCACCTGCCTCACTATTATTGACTGAGTTACATCTGAGCCCATCTCAAGAAATTGAGTTTATTGAACTTGCTCTACCAGTCTATAACTTAAGACAAGTAATTAGAGATTCAGGCTCCTAGAGATACTAAAAATGCATTGCTTACAACAACTTAATTTATGATAAGGTGGCACAAAAGAGGGCTTTCAACAATTTCAAGAGGTACTAAAGTAATATCCCATGCAAAGCTTAAACATGTTTTAAAGTTGTTTTGTTGAACACAGTTTCATTTTTTCCTTCACAGAAACTACTTAACCTAAAATGTTTTAACTTAAAATATAACACATTGGAAATACAGCTTAGCAAGTGCTTGTATCCAATGGAAAATTAGGTTTTTTCAGTTCTCTGTTTATGACTTTCATTCATTAAAAACCAGTTTAACAAAACATCTTTTGCTGGTGTGAATAAGGTATAAGGTTGCATGTAACCAATTTTATACACTTTTTTTTCTTTGTTGAGATTGGTGACCTCAAAAACCGACAAAGTAAAATTTTCAATCAAGCCTGGAGTTGCGTGCGCTACTGAATTATAACACATTGGAAATGCAGCTTAGTAAGTCCTTGTATCCAGTGAAAAAGCATGGAGTTGCCTGTGCTAGCGAATGACTTGTATAGAATTTTTCCAAACAATCATTTTCAATTCCAGACTAAACGTTATGAGCATATTTTCAAGGCTACAGCAATTATTAATTAGAGAGAAATTTGCTGCATGTTTGAGGGTTTGCTAACCTCAAATGTGAAATTTTTTTCATTGTTCTTTGCATTATCTGTCCTTCATAGCTACCAGTTTTCCTTGGAACAGCTAACATCCACAAGCAAATATCTGTGAATATTTTTTTGCCAAATGGAGGTCATTTAACTACACCAAAATGCATAACATTCCAAAGTTCTTCCTTTCAAAAAATTCTACAAAAAGAACTATCTAAAAGATGAATAGGATGATGCAAGTGCACCACAACAAGGCAAGATGTCAGCCAAAAGACGAAGGGAAGTAGATGTTCAAGGTTTGAACAGATCTGTGCATAATAATGATAACGACAGTAGTAACTAATCTTCCATACCTCATCACTAAAAGGCCCAGGTGTGTGAAGTGGTTCATCCTCTGTGTTCATCACTGTAGTGGACTCTGGTTGTGGTGTACTCATTGCTTCCACACCATCATCAACATTTTCCAGTCCTTGTGAAACAACTAAATTTCAATTGAGATAAATGACAGGGATTCAAATAACAGATAAAATAAATACATTTTTAAACAGTAACATAATTTATGATAAATGATATCTATTTAAGTAAGTTTTAAGAACCTTTGAGTAACATGATTTATGATAAATTATAATTATTATGAAACTATGTAAATTGTACTCATTTCCCTGTAATCTACAATAATTGAGACTCTGCTCTTGATGGTTGCAATGAGCATCTGAAGACTTACCATACATACATTGATTGGTAAATGGTAGCGTTGTTACTGGATCAAGTAGATGTTGTGGAGCCTCCTGTGCCTTAACAGATTGCTGATCAACTACACTCGAGTCACTCATGCTGTTCATCTGAGGATTTCCAAGGGTTGAATGTGGCATCACATATGATTTTATTGTATTTATACCTGGAACCTTATAGAAGAAATATGAAAAGTTATACATTCATTCATAATGAAGATTTAACTTCCACTACCCCCTGCCTCACTATTATTGACTGAGGTACATCTGAGCCCATCTCAAGAAATTGAGTTTATTGAACTTGATTTACTGGTATATAATTTAAGACAAGTAATCAGTGATTCATGCTCCTAAAGATAATAAAAATGCATTGCTTACAACAACTTAATTTATGACAAGATGGTACAAAAGAGGGCTTTCAACTCTTTTAAGAGGTACCAAAATACGGTTACATGCAACCAATCTTTTTCACTTACAATCTTACACATTTTTATTTGTTTAAGATTGGTGACCTCAAAAAACTGACAAAGTAAAAATTTCAATCAAGCCTGGAGATGCCTGTGCTACCAACTGACTTGTAGACTTTTTCCAACCAATCATTTGGACTTCCAGACTAAATGTTATGAGCATATTTTCAAGCCTAAGCAATTCTTAAATAGAGAGAAATTTGCTGTATGTTTAAGGGTTTGCTAACCTCAAACATGAAAGTTAAAGGTACTAAAAATGCATTGCTTACAACAACTTAATTTATGACAAGGTGGCACAAAAGAGGGCTTTGAACTACTTCAAGAGGTATTAAAGTAATACCCCATTCACACCAAAGCTTAAACATCTTTTAAAGTTGTTTTGTTAAACACAGTTTAATTTTTTTCTTCATAGAAACTACTTAACCTAAAATGTTTTAACTTAAAATATAACACATTGGAAATGCAGTTTAGTAAGTCCTTGTATCCAGTGAAAAAGCCTGGAGTTGCCTGTGCTAGCGAATGACTTGTATAGAATTTTTCCAAACAATCATTTTCAATTCCAGACTAAACGTTATGAGCATATTTTCAAGGCTACAGCAATTATTAATTAGAGAGAAATTTGCTGCATGTTTGAGGGTTTGCTAACCTCAAATGTGAAATTTTTTTCATTGTTCTTTGCATTATCTGTCCTTCATAGCTACCAGTTTTCCTCGGAACAGCTAACATCCACAAGCAAATATCTGTGATATTTTTTTGCCAAATGGAGGTTATTTAACTACGACAAAATGCGTAACATTCAGAAAATTCTTCCTTTCAAAAAATTCTACAAAAAGAACTATCTAAAAGATGAATAGGATGATGCAAGTGCACCACAACAAGGCAAGATGTCAGCCAAAAGACGAAGGGAAGTAGATGTTTAAGGTTTGAACAGATCTGTGCATAATAATGATAACGACAGTAGTAACTAGTCTTCCATACCTCATCACTAAAAGGCCCAGGTGTGTGAAGTGGTTCATCCTCTGTGTTCATCACTGCAGTGGACTCTGGTTGTGGTGTACTCATTGCCTCCACATCATCATCAACATTTTCCAGTCCTTGTGAAACAACTAAATTTCAATTGAGATAAATGACAGGGATTCAAATAACAGATAAAATAAATACATTTTTTAAAGAGTAACATAATTTATGATAAATTATAATTATTATGAAACTATGTAAATTGTACTCATTTCCCTGTAATCTACAATAATTGAGACTGCTCTTGATGGTTGCAATGAGCATCTGAAGACTTACCATACATACATTGATTGGTAAATGGTTGCACTGTTGCTGGATCAAGTAGTTGTTGTGGAGCCTCCTGAGCCTTAACAGTTTGCTGATCAACTACACTTGAGTCACTCATGCCGTTCATCTGAGGATTTCCAAGTGTTGAATATTCCGTTGCATATGGTCTTATTTGACTTGTACCTGGAACCTAATAATAGATTATGAAAAGTTATACATTCATTCATGATGAAGAATAAAATTCCACTACCACCTGCCTCACTGTTATTGACTGAGTTACATCTGAGCCCATATCAAGAAACTGACTTTATTGAACTTGATATACTGGTATGGTACTGGTATTGCCTACAACAACTTTATTTAAGACAAGATGGCACAAAAGAGGACTTTGAACTATTTCAAGAGGTACTAAAGTAATATCCCATTCACACCAAAGCTTAAACATGTTTTAAAGTTGTTTTGTTAAACACAGTTTAATTTTTTTCTTCATAGAAACTACTTGACCTAAAATGTTTTAACTTAAAATATAACACATTGGAAATGCAGCTCAGCAAGTGCTTGTATCCAATGGAAAATTAAGTTTATTCAGGTGTGAAAAGGGTACAAGGTTGCATGCAACCAAGTAAAAATTTCAATCAAGCCTGGAGTTGCATGTGCTACTGAATGACTTGTATAGATTTTTTCTGAAC